GGTTAACCTGTGGACTAGGTGGATGATGTGAACTATGGTTGCCCTTGAGCACCCTGTCCTGTTTGGTAGAGCCAAATTGACTTCTTGGTATCACCAGAGCTTAGAGCAATGAAACAGCTTGAGTACACGTAGAAGAAAAATCCAGATGAATGCAACTGAACACTAGTGAGTGTTCATTATTGAGTCTCCTCAATAGCAGTGAATATAATGAAGAAGCACTTTGCTGCCTCCATTGCATCCTCACCATGCCACACAACAGAGCTTTTTGGGTAGTATGGAGCCTTTTGTACTCGGCCCAAAGAAGGTGGATGAACCAATGTGACTCATTGTGACTTTTGTAAATAAAATCCCTTGTATCCAAGTAAGGTAAAGTATCCCTGCATGGTTAAATCCAGTCAAATTCAACATGGGGTGCAGCATTCTTCTCCACTTTCAGACTAAGGGAGCCAGCGTTTGTCCACAGACAGCTTTCTGGGTCACAAAACACCGTGACAAACGCCAGAGCACACAGAAACACTGTTTACCTTCCTGCCACAGCAGTACCTATTTATCTACTTGCTCTGGTATGCTTTCAAACTGCTAGGTTGGCAGGAGCTGGGACAAAGCAGGAGCTCACTCCATCACGTGGATTCAAACTGCCAACCTTATGATCGGCAAGCCCAAGAAGCTTCGTGGTTCAGACCACAGCGCCAACCATGTCCCTGTCCCTTGTATCCACCATGCCTTTCACTGCAGCAGGTGACTCTCAACAGATATCCAGAACGCTATTGTGTCCTGTTTTGTTAAGTTGATATGGCTTGAGAATATGGACAAAATTGTTGGATCTGCATAGGTGACCACATTTGCTCTTGACCCTTGCCCTTCATGGCTAATGAAAACTAAGTAAAGAGTGGGTGGCTAGCTCAGCCAGGGAGGTGATTAACATCTCTGCGTAGGAGGGAGTTATCCCTAACTGCTTAAAGGAAGACATTAGACATAAGAAATGCTCCCAGGATTCAGAGAATTTAAACAACTATTGACTGACTGCTACTTGAGCAACATTGAGTAAGTTGCTGCTAACCAGATCCAGGCTCTATTGGATGAGACTGATTGTCTGGATCCATTTCAATTGGAGTTTAGGCCTGGCTTTAGCATGCAAACTGCCTTGGTTGCCCTGTATGTTGAGAGACAGGCAGAGTATGATGCTATTGATTCTCCTTGATATCCCAGAGACTTTTGATATCATTGTCCATAGTATCCTTCTGGAGCATTTGTCTGAGTTGGAAGTGGGTGGTACCACTTTACAGTGGTTTCAGTCCTACGTGGATGGTCATCTTCAGAGACTGGTGCTTGGGGATGTTGTTTAACCCCATGGTCCTTCCTATGAGGGGTACTGCAGTGGTCAGTTTAATTGCCAATGCTATTTATTGTGGCACCTTAATGACTAACAGATCTGTTACAGCACAATATTCCATGGGCTACAGCCTACTTCATCAGATTGATCAGATTTCCTTTGAAGCAAAATATTTTAGTGCATTGTATGTGGTAATTGTCTAACCAAAGCTAGGATGTCTGTGTTATTAACAACTACATGTGAATTACCTCTCTTCATTATGTAATTATCACTGTCTGTATTCTTTTTCTGAATTTCATTTCCCTGTTTACAGTATCCTCTCCCTGTGTATGTATATACCTGTAAATTCAGGCACCTGATAAAGTGGACTGTAATCTACAAAAGTTTATGCCATAATAAATTTGTTAGCCTCTAAGGTACCACAATGCTCTTTGTTGATTTTTAAACAACAGTGTTTTTACTTGTCTGCAGAAATCAGAAGGGAGGCTGTTAGAATTACCCTAGGAGGGGAGTTCCATGAGAATTAGCTCAGAGCTTGAATATTCTAGTGAATTACCTCCAACAGTTGCTTAAATCTTGCAGCTGCCTAGAAGAAAACACAGCAGTTACCTCTTGGTAAAACTTGAGCTATGCACAGCCCATCAGGAAACTATGTGTAATGTTAATTTTATAATTTATTAATCATATTCTACGCATACATACACATCCTAACATGATGTACAAAATGCAATAAAACACAGCCAAAAACAACACAGTAAATAACTGGATATAAATCTAAAAGTTTATATCTACATAAGTAGAGACCCATGGCAGAGGCATTTTCATCCAAGCTGGGAAAGTTTATTGGATAAACAAATTCAGTTGTCTGCAAATGCAGATAATGAGTGCCTCCTCTTGAGAGGAACACTGTTCCACAGAATAGGGGAGCCACACACAAAAACCCCTGTTCTGACTTACTGTGGAAAAGGCTTCTAAGATCGTTGGAATTTGAAAGAGAATCTCTCCCACAGACTGCAATGATCTACTGGGTATATAAGGGATAAGGCAATCTCTCAATTAATGAGTAATAAGTTGTCCATCTTTTGAGTTTTATTTGTGGACTTCTTTTGCCTGGCCTAGTCTGAAGCATTTTTCTTTTCTCTGTGGTCAAACTAACATAAAAAAATCTGTACCACTTCATCTCAGCATACTATGTGTCTTTCTCCTAGTTATGGCTTCCTGCTAGACTCAGACAGTTTCAGCTTCCTTTTTCCAAGCTGCGGCTTCTTTTCAGACCTGGTGACATCAGGTGATGCATTCAGGCAGTTACCAACAACTCAGTGCTACCTTCTCCTCATCATGCTCTTTATCCCTTATCTGTGGTGCTTCCATCACTTCCAGTTCCTTCATTGGCAGTGGTGCCACCTCCACCTCCATGGAAGATGTAGCAGTCATTTGTCCCAGGAAAAGAAGTTGTGTACTGTGCTGCTGAATTGGAAGTGCAGAAAGCTTCCATTTGGACATACCCTTTAAGACCTTAAGAATGAAGGGCCATCTTCGCTTTGAGATGCCAAAATCTAGTGCTGAGACAGTTGCCACACTGGGGGATTTAAACAATTAACAGTGTATAATAGAGCTAAAGGAGAGTACTGAACAATTTTCTGAATTGTCAGTGCTTCACAAGTGCAGGCTATCTTGAAAAATATGCTTGCAAGTGGTTTAAAATGTCATATGGTTAAATTTAGGTGGGGTTTTTAGCTAAGACAGTTCCAGTGAATTGAGTGCATTTCACTGGCACAAGTGTAATGAAACCACTGACAGATCACTTAGCACGATGAAACACTCTCTCTGATCTAATTTGACTCTAAGTTTTATGTGATTGCCACCAAGCCAATAAATGTGATGACTCCAAACTTTTTTACTGTACTGTGGTGTCTCAGAAGAGCCATGATACAATATACACTAATTATGGGCTGACTCCAAATTGAATTAAGTAATAGAACTGGATTTGGCATAGAAAATGTTTAATTCAAGCAGAATGAATGGAGCAATGTAGCGAAAAATTACTGCACTCTTTCCAAAAGAACTGCTCAGTATGACGTTACAGAGACTGAAACACCACATATCCCACATACTCCATGGTCTGAATAACATTGTTAAGTGTTGAATATCAAATTGATTCTAGGTTGTAAAATCTCCCAGAATGCAGAATGTGGCTGGGACATTATCCATATTATATCTTTTAAAATCTGAAAAAAATATTAAAAGACATCCATATGCATGCTGAAATAAATATTACATTTGACTTTCAGGTAATAAGTTACAAATAAATGGGAACATGTAAGGAGTGAAATATTGTCATGTCTTTTTTATGTATAAATGCAGTTGCTTTTTGACTGTAGGGCTTTTCAATGCAAAAGGGTTTACTGGCCAATTTCTATATTCTTGGGGGAGTCATAATATTCTCCAGATAGTGGCCTACAGGTGGAAAATCTCTCTTATGAGGGATGGGGTCAGTTAATAAAGTTGGTGTCATCTGGGAGGAAGGATTTCCCTGTTATAGCACACACAAAATCCAAAGAGTGTTGGAATATTAAAGTCTGGAATCACATTCATTCTCTCTCTCTCTCTCTCTCTCTCACACACACACACACACACACACACAAGAAAGAAAGACCTTTTGATAACTCTTTTCATTTCAAATGCAACTGCTGGCAATATTTTACAATCCACTTTTAGAAAAATCTGTTGGCTAGATTAATATATTTTAGCATAGACTGAGGGCTTCCTGTTGACCATCCCTGGTATGGAGTGTGCCATGTAACTATATCACAGGGGACTGTCATGCATGGGAGAGGGAAGGAAGGGAGAGAGGATTTAGATGACCATGGAAAGGTGAAAATAAAGTAAATTGTTCACCAGTTTGTATTGAAAACCAAACTGGAGGAAAATTATGTTTCCATATTTGAAACATTATGAGCCTCCAAGTTTCATACTGACAAGACAGGAAATATGAGATTTGGTGACATCACTATGCCAAACAATCTAAACCATATAAACCAACAGCTGTTGTACCTATCAGAAACGCAGTAGCCAGCTACCACTACCACCTTCATGAGCTTCTCTGTTTAGTATCCCCACGTTGATCAGATTGGAATGAAAACCAAAGCAGGATGTGGCCAGTTCTATGGATGTGTTGCTGGCAAAAGGGAAAGTTTAAGGTTCTCTATTTCTATTCAACTATGCATTTAATTATGACAAGTTTCAGTGACTGTTCATTATACATTGTGCATTCATTCAGATAGTGTTCCAAATGTTAAAAGCAAAAATACTCATATTTTTGTTGATGAATGTGGTTTCTACTGTGCTGTAGATCAACTTCATAAGATGATATGGGGCCAGTGATAATTAAGCAATCCCATTCTAGAGCTGGCAATGAGTTGGCTTTTGACTAAACCGATTGGCTTTCAGGGCTGCAGAAAAACTGCACAGGCTCGTGCTAAAAATACTGGTGAATTATGGGTGCTCGGTTGCTTAGACTTATGTGTGTTTGCCTGTGACATTGCTGCTTTTACATGTATTCCTGTATAACTGCCCTGCTTAAACCGGCATCAGATATTTGCATTAGTTCACAGGCCTTTTTGCAGAAGGCGGGAAAGCTTATATTTCTCTGGTTTGTGGCTTGCAGATCTTTTCAGTTACCAACAACACAGAATGTGTGAAGATGCTGCAGGAAATCAAATGTGCACACTGTTCGCCGAATGCTCAGAATCTGTTCCACTCAACTGAGAAGGAGGCATTGGGAAGAGAACTAGTTCTTCCTTTCCTGTGCAAGGATTATTGTAAAGAATTCTATTACACTTGCAGAGGTCACATACCAGGTAAATCAACATTGTAAATAGTGACGTATTATAATTGTGTATACCTTTTATTGCTAACACATTCTGCAAAGCATCCTATGTGTATCCTAATGTGTTTTATTCAGAAAATACTGTTCAGGGGTCTTACAATTTGATCTAGATAATCAGATCATCTACAGTTAAGTGTTTCTTTTCTTAAAATTCATTATGTTAACTTGGCATAGTGTACAGTTTGTCCTGTTCTCCCCATGGGACACTAAGCCATAACTCCTGGGCACTGCCCTTTATCCAGTTGCTTAGTCTCAAGGCAACAGGATCTAGGCAACAGGTCCAGAGTGCAAACTCTGGTAAATCAGGATTGAGCACAGGCTCTGCAGGACCTGGGAGAGCTCCCAGTGGGTGTTCCCAGAGAAGGCAGAGACCAGCACCTAACTGACAACTTGCTTCTGGCTTGAAGCATCACACCTGTGTGCAAATGAACAGCCTCAGAATGTGCATTATTATTTCTCTTCTGAGGATCTCTCATGGAGAAGAGGCCTGTTTTATACCTTTCACTGGAGTGTTGTGTGTCAGAAAAGTGGAACTAAATCTGAAACTATTCTCCTGCTTCTGCAAATACTATAAAAGGGTCACTGCTTAATGTTTTGCATGCAAAAGGTTCCAGGTTCAATCTTCTGGTAGGGCAGGGAAAGACTCCTGACTGAAACCCTGAGGAGCTGTCACTACTTAGTGCAGACCGTACTGAGCTGAATGGGCCAGAGATCTGACTCATTTTAAGACATCTTCCTATATTCTTGTGCACAAGCAGAAGAATGGGAACTGCTATCGAACCTAACCAACTACAGCACTGTTTACAAAATAGCATTAGTGGGTTTTTTTATTTTTTACTCATGGTTCTTTCAATTCAACCCTATAATTTGGATTCAAAGTGGAGTTATCATCATCATCATCATCACAATATTTATTATTTTGTATAGCACTTAAAATAAACTAAGCATTTAGTTGCAATTGAAAGCTGCCCAAAGACATTCAGCCTAAATATTGACAAGCCATTGGGGAAGGGGACATAGAAAAAATATGCAAAATGTGGAAATGGTATATGGGAGAAACTGTTGATGTAAGTTTAGTATTATTATCACACTTAAAAAAATTGTAAAAAACAAACAACAACAAAAACACACCCAGAAAAGCAGTAAGGGAGGAAGACCAATAAAAAAGGTTGGGTTTTCAGGAATGTTTCAAACGAAGTCACAGAGGAAAGTAATCCCAGCCATAGGGAGAAATGGAAGACCAGGGAAAACCCCTCAGTCCAAATAGAGGATCAAAGGAAAGGCAAGCAAAGAAACAGGAGAATGCCAGGTAGCAATAAAGGAAGTTGATGTCCTGTCCTCTTTGAAGCACTGTGCTAAAAAGGGCCATATCAGAGGTCACAGGCAGCCTCAGGTGGAATAGTGGGTGTTAAATCATCAGCGAGGAGCCCCAAAATGCCTGATGCCTCAGAAATGTTCACAAGAAATATTCACTTGAAATATTGAAATACAAATATGGACTCAGAAGACTACATGAGATGTCTACTTCATTTTTTAGAAAGTTTGTTGTCCTTTTAAGAAAGCTGATTTTGTTGTAATAGAAGTTAAACATATCTAGAGCCTTGTGTTCTCCATCCTTCCTCTGAGGATTCTTAAGTGACTTCCTCTTAGATCCAAAAGCAATGAATATATTTTGCTCAAATCATAGTTTGCTCTTAAACTAGGATCAAACTGTGGTTTGGGATCTTGGTTTAAGAGCAAACTGTCATTGGAGCAAACCATAGTACACTGCACTTGGACACAATGGGAAACTATGGTTTGTTGACAAACAGGAAATCAACTTTAAAATCCTTAGCACATGAGGGAGGATAGCTCAAGCTTGATTCTTGACTCTCCTTAGCTCTGCCCATCTATCTATAGCCAAACTATGGTTTGGTATTTCATCTGAATGCAATCACTGTCATGTGAAGAGTAGAAGAAATTAGCGGGTGCAACTCTATCACACCTTAAGTTGCATAATAATTATTTATGAAATTTGTGCAGCTTTTTAAAAAGTTGCATAAATAATAAGAGTTAAAACAAGGCATAGGCGAATGTGAAGCACTTTTGGGAAAAAAAGGCTTTTCAAAAGAATATTTGTGTACAGTGTTCTTGATTTCTTTTAACTCTCAGGGACGCAGAACATTTTTGTAGTGTTCTTTGACTTGAGAAAACATTTTGAAAAGGCTTGATTTTCCCCTTTGGTGTGGTTTAACATGTATCTAAACTCATTCAAATATGAAAATATTATTATTGTCTTTGTAAACTACAGAGACGTTTCTAAGACTTTCCTAAACCAGCTGTTCTTTGCTCTTTATTGCATTCCCCAAAGCAAAGCAGAATAGATCAGAGTTGCCAAGACTGCCTGCTGAGCAGCGATAACAGATTAGATTAAATGTTTGGCTCATGCTGGAGGCCACTAAGAAGAATTTCTTTTTATTTTTATTTATTTTTAATACTATTTAAATAAAAATAATAATTATCACATATGAGAAGCACATCCTGCTAAACTTTAACACTTGTGTGTGTGTGTGTGTGTGTGTGTGTACAAAAGTCATTGTTTTTGAGGAAAATTTTCTTTCACGCTATGAAAAGAATAAGATGCTAAATGCTAAAGGAAGTGGAGAGAGAGCGATCTGAGCTGCACAGGAGCTGGAGTCGAAAGAGCCTCACTCCCTAGATCAACATATGTGGTGACGAATGACAAATTTATTTTCCTACAGAGCTTGTGTATATGTAAAACTGCTGAAGTGCATCAAGATGTCAAGTGCTTTTTGTGACCACCCAGGTTGCCTTGAAAGATAACCAGATGAAAACATAACTTTTAAGCAGTGGGCTTTGGAGGAAATGGCTTACATGCTGTAGCATCAGCTAGAGTAGGATTTTTCCTACATCAATCAGATGCTAATAATCATTATAAAGACTTGTTCTGAAAGTGGGCCACAAGGACAATAAATAAATAAATAAATACACCCATGTCCAACCAAGTTAACTGATTTGCTTGGCAGAGTGATCATTCAATGGTTCCTGAAAGTGGTGTGCTGAGGTTTGGTTTCTGTTTCTGGGACAAATAACTGATGGCTCAATTCTATAGTTCTGTGATATTAAAACCAAGGAGGGGAGCAATTTTTAACAGAAAACACATATAGATTTCAGTTTATTTGATCTTTTCATCTCTTTCTAAGATCTGTAACAATTGCCAGAGGAGTAGTCTTCTTCAGCAAAAACAACAAGAGTAACAAATTGATTATAGCATAAACTTCAATTGCCTTAAGGCAGCAAACCTAACCATGTCTACTCACAAGTAAGTCCTATTGAATTCCTGGGGCTTTTTACCATGTAAGGTTAGGATTGCAACCTAAAATCTCTAGTGAGCAAAAGCTTAAGCCTGTTCACCTTAAGCTGTCATAGGACTCTTTGGTGTTGCTTCCTAACAGCTGAATCCATAAGAAATATGTATAAAGAATTTTTTTTAGTACCTGGCTTTATTCAGCTGACATTTATTGCTTTCCTGAGAATGGGAAACAAAAGGAAATTTTACAACAGCCTGTTATATCTCAAAATGGAAATGTAGCTGTGTTGGCCCATGTGAAGAAGAAAATCCAAACTTCATAATTGGGCAACAGGACCAACCAAAATGTCACAAAATCATGGCAGGCTTTGAGAATAACTTAGAAACATTAACCAGGAATAAATAGGCTTATAAAGGACACTGAATTAGAGTGCAAAGGATCAAAGCACCCCACAACTGATTCTACCAGTCACAAACAAATATTTGTCATAAAAATGCATTATCACCAGAAAAGGTTTTTTTAAAAAAAAGTCCTTTGAACTCAGGTTCAGATTCAATTTTCAGTGGAAAATTACTTGAAGAGGGGTTGGAATGCCATTTTAATTTTGTATATTTGTTTTTGCTACCTATAAAGTTATGTTAACATTCCCATTTTTAAATGTAGGCATTTTTTAAAAAACTGGGTGAATCAAGGGAATATAGCTTGTTCTTTTATTCCCTATACCCGCAGGTGCCCCCCTCTTCCCTACATGTTCCAAATGCATAAGCAATACACATTTAAACCCTTCTTTTCTAGTTGAGCTAGAAAATATGAATAAAAATAAAAATTGTTGACAAGCACCTATGGGAATGCATCATTGTCCAGTGGCAGTAGAAAAAGTTAATAATCCAGTGAGAGGAGATGGAGTTCATCACCATTCAATTATAAGCTTACCTTACTACTGCAGAGTACCAGTTGCATTCTGCAAGTGGAGATACATTCCTGAATGCCTTTGGAAACTGAGTGGTGCATAACTAAGTACTTTTCCCTAGTATTTCTGTTTGCACAGTGAACTTCCTTTCCACTCCTTTCCCCATGTGCCCCTGTGGCCTACCCAGATCAGCTCTAGAGGGTTATGGGTAAACCCATAGCAGATTTAGGGAGCATACTGGGAGAGGAGAGGGAACAGAAGTTCAACTGCATTGTCCAAAGTCCTTACACTAGCGGACACACTTCATTGGATCCCACCCTCTGTCAATTTCATTTCAAGACTGGTTTTAGTGTATATAAAACCTCATGTTTCCTCAGAGCTGTGGCTTGGTTTGCTGTCTATTATCATGTTTGTTTTTCTTATGAAGAAGAGTAGATGTTGTATTGTGCCTCTGGGATAAGAGGCATAAACATGGCCACCTTCCAGACAGGGTGCCCTGGACTTTGTCTGCATCACATTTTCATGGTTCTATCTGTGATGAAGTAACTCAAATATTTGCATATCCATATCAGTGAGTGAAGCCTAAGCATCCTTATCTATCAAGCACTAGGGGACTTTAGTGCTGGAAGTGGTGTCTTGGTGAAGTCTCTAGCAATTACTGGATGTAACAGTGGAACAGGGTACTAGGAAGAGCCTTAGTCTGTGCTTGGCTGATCTGTTTTGTGACGCTAGAGGGATTGTGAGCAGAAAGAGTAGGAGAAGCAGAAATCTAAGAATGAGGGAGTCAAGCTCTTGAAAAAGCAGTAGGCTTTGCTTTTTATTATTGTCTTTTTATGCCAACTTTCCTCCAAGAAGCCCAAGGTGGCACACATAGTTCCCAGCTCCATTTTTATCTCACAACAACCCTATGAGGGAAGTTAGGCTACAAAGTCACCCCAGGGGATTTGAACCCTGGTTTTGCCCAGGTCCTAGTCTAACACTCTAATCAGTGTGCCATACTGGCTAAGGGGCTTTGTGACTTCCTGTGACACTTGGTGGACCCTGAGACTGACAAGGGGAATCTATAGAAACAGGTGAATAAGCAGGAGGTGGGCAATTTACCTCAATTTCTGTCTGTGAGGTCACATCCACACTATATATGCAAAGCACGTGGCTTCCCACAAAGAATCCTGGGAACTGTAGTTTCAGAACTACAATTCCCAGCACCATTACAGTTGCAAGGATTCATGAGGGAAAGCCATGTCTTTTATGTGTATGGGGAGGATGTGACCTGCTGCTGAAGAGGGAGCACCTCAAACACAGAATTCATTGGCCATATAGATACAGTTCAGAAGTACATGTTCATAATGAAAGGGAGATTAAGAGAGGAGAACATTAAGGGGCAAACAATTTCCACATAGATAGATGGAAATATGAGTTCTGCAGGGGGATTGAGCTTGGTATTATTGGGTAAAATGAAAATTCATCTGGATTAGATTCCTAGGAATGGCAAATGAGAAACCATAGATGGGCCGAAAAGCTGAAACATCATGCATCCATTTAGTCATCCAGCAAACTGGGTAGAAGTATAACTCCATCTCAGGCAGTCAGTTGTATTATTATGAGACCACACTGACTGTGCCTTATTGTTGTTTTGATATTGGATATCCTGCCATTAATTGTTTCTGTAAATTATGTTTGTAAATACATTAGCACTGTGGTGTGGTTTATTCATTGTTGACTCTAATTCTGAGTTTTTGGCATGTCTTCTAATCAGATTCTTTCTTGATCTATTTATTCATGAGATGGTGTTTCACTGCAAATATGCAGTCGCCAATCAAGAAAAATAAACTTGTAACAAATGTTTGACACAAACCCATGCATATTAAATGCTTTCAGCTAAATGTTTAGCAGGTTATTTTTTTAAAAAAATACATTTTACCCACTTTACCACCAAAGTTTTTAGGGTGGCGTACTTGCCCTCTCTTTATCCTCAAAATAAAGTGAGGTAAATTAGGCTGCAAGCCTAACCATACCTACTTGGGAGTAAGCCCTACTGAATTCAGTAGGATTTACTTCTTTTACAGGCATGGTTAGGATTGCACTGTTAGGCTATGAGATAGTGACTAGACCAGAGTCCGTAATTTTTGTGGCTGCCCAGCTGCTCTGCTGCTCTGTTTTCTACTAGTGGAGTGTCTTGGAATTTAAAAGTGGAGCTAGTGGAGAAATGGAAAGTGTTCACAAGAGAATGTTATTTCATAGAGCAATAGTTATGGATTTTAGTGAGTGCTGTGAATGGCTCTATTGTCTTCATTGGTGTTATCTAAGTGGCTTTAAGAATTGCTAAGGTATTCATATGCCACGACGTTTTAATGTATCATAAATTCTCTTGCAGTTTACCCTTGGTTTTTACACTGATGGGCCTTTTTGAACAATCATTTGTAAAATAGGTAGCAGTATGAAAATACAAATGAAAATCATTATTACATTCTTTTTTAAAAAAACACAATAATTGTATATAAGATGTTTGCATGCAATAATATTTTAAAGCTTCTGTTTGTAGATTCTTTGATCGGTCTAATTCCTAAAATGGAAACATTGGATTATTGATACTCAGAGTTGACCCATTGTAATTAATAGACATGACTAACTTGGACCAAATAATTTCAGTAGGACTACTCTGAGTAGGACTAGCTTTAAATACAGTTCATTATCTGTATATTTAAAAACAAAATATCCATATTCATTAATAAACTAAACATTTTTTCCTTCACTTTTAAAGGTTTTCTCCAAACTACAGCGGATGATTTTTGCTTCTATTATACAAGAAAAGATGGTGGCTTGTGCTTTCCAGATTTTCCAAGAAAACAAGTTCGAGGACCAGCTTCTAACTATTTGGACCAGATGGACGAATATGGCAGAGTAGAAGATATCAGCAGGTTCATAAAGATAAATACTGCTTAATCTAAAAAATCTGACAAATCTTTGTAGTTGACATTGAGTTGAGTCAGTCTTTGCTTATGCTTCCCAGCTGTGTCATCCAGATGTTGCCTTCTCTTGCTGTTGTTAGCAGTCCATTCTTTATAATGTATTGAATTCTTGTGTAATACGTACTTTACTAATGATTCATTGACTTCATTCTGGATCAAATACATTGCAGATGTGTTATCTGAAATGTTATCTAAATTTAATTGTTGGTAATTTGATTTTCCCCTCTGATTTCTTATCAGTTAACCACTCCTGGTTGTTGTTTTGCCCCTCATCTACATTATCCACTTATGACCAAAAATGGGTTTCCATCATTAAATTTAGTACAGCAAATATTAACCCACCCAACCCAGGCTGAAGGGTTCTTATGTGTTCAGTATTTAGTACTCATCCCAGGGTAATGGGAAATTTAACCTGTGTTTTGAACACAGAGAGATTAGGGTCAGCATGAGTTTGGAGTTGAAAGGACAGTCTCATTTTTCATAAATTTGCTTCAGTCTCTCTCTTCTTTTTTCCAAGTTCCTGTTTTAATTCTAACATCTATACTACCCCATGATGGTCAATTGACCCCTAATTCCTCCAATTCTGGAAAAAAAATCTGTAAATAATATTTATGTAGGTGTGTATTATATTATCCTGTAATATATAGTGTATTATTTAATGCATAAAATTTAATAATAATATGTTATGTATTATACATTCTGCTGTATATATTATCTCTACAAGCTATTGGGCTTTGTTCTGTTTATAATTACTATTAATTGTAGCAATTCCAAAAGTTAGTCCTAGTCCTTTTTCAAATAGTGTGCTGTTTTTAATTTAATTTTGAATATGTTGGCATTTAGAAATTAATCACATGTTGCATTTAAGTAAGATTATGGGTCAGTTATGCATCTGCCCATTACTTTTCACTTACCATTGTGTGCACCACAATCCTATGTGTGCGAACACAGAAGCAGAGCACAACAAATACAAATAAGCCGCACATTCAACAGGTGGCAGTTCCCCTCCCCAATTCTAGTTAATTTCAGCCAAAATCTCCAACCAAAACCTCTAAATGCTCCCTCCTTGCCTCTCTATTCAACCCCCCCCCCCCACTTGTAGCTGTCCTCTACCTCCTTCCTTCACCTGGAGTGATGTCACCTACCTGTAGGTAGTATCTGTGTCCAAATAGTTGAGAGAGATTCTCAGATATCAGGAGACCTTAGTCCTGTTGTTAGCTCCCATAGCAGTCCTGGACTATTGGTGACCAATTTGGCTTACAAGGGACTGGGCAGCCAGCAGCTGAGGCATGTTGTCGCATCTCCCTCAGTCACTTTCTGTCAGATTGAAAGCTACCTCACCTTCAGATTGAAATATGTGATACCAAACATTGCCTTTGCTTGCCCTACTGAATACAGCTAACCATGTGAATAGTAGGAGCAAGACATTGCCTATTGTAGCACATGTTCTGATGTCTTGCAAATTGCTTTTCTTGCAGGAAATTTTAAATAGGGAGGCAGTAATCTATAGGTATAACAAAAATGGTGTTTTATTACTTTTTTTAAGGAAGCATAAACACAACTGCTTTTGCATCCATGAGGTTGCAAGTGGCCTGAGGCAGCCTGTTGGAGCAACACATTGTGGAGATGGATCACAGCGCCTGTTCATCCTGGAGAAAGAGGGATATGTAAAGGTTTTCACACCTGAAGGGGATTTAATCAAGGAGCCATTTCTGGACATACACAAGCTTGTTCAAAGTGGAATAAAGGTTAGAATTCTTTTTATTTACCATTGCCTGCCTATTTGCTTTTTGATATACTCACTACATTACTTTTTCTACAGCTTCAACTTTTGTCACCTTTGGTTTTAAAAGATAAAATAGTATGCAAATATTTTAAAAGGAGAGTGCCAGCTAATTGATCTCTTAATAAAACATCTCTCCTCTTTCTCTTCATAGTTCCAACCCAATGAACATTCATTATGCTTAAGATTCATTCATTTAGACTTATACTGGCCAGCTAATTCAATAGGCTCAACAGCAATATAGTTACAGTGGTAGGACATATGCTTTGTATGTCTACGGTTCTGAGTTCAGTCTTCAGCACTGCCAGTTAGCAAAGAAGCTCATGTGGCAGGGTTGGAGAAATCCCTGTCCCTGAATGCTTAGAAGGCTGCCACCAGCCAGAGGAAAAGGCATGATTTAGTATAAGGCTTCATATAGTAAAATGCTCGGCTCCATTGACACCTATAACTTAAACCTTTCTATTTAAATATTTGTTCTTTATCACATAATTGTGTGCATAATATTATGATTACAGTGAAATAATTTGAATCCAGGCCGCAAATTATTCCACTCAAGAATGTGGTTCTTTACAGCTGATTTCTGTGGAAACAGTTTTGATCCTTTAGCTATTTGTTTCTTGACACCTAATGTGGCTAGCCATTCTCGTTGTTGAATACAGAAGGGGGAGCTCTCACTGCATCAGCTGCTTGAGAGGGTGGCTCTTCCTTGGCCTTTTCGGTGCATGATAAGATGCAGCTATGCTCTGTTCTCCTTCTTCTTGAATTGATTGGATTTTAAGTAACTTGCAAGCTTTTCAACCTCCTGAAATGTGTTTTGCTCCTAAATGCAGCAAGTTAAAATAAAAAGGATTGCATCATTGAACACCGGAAGCTGTTCTCCTTTTTGTTTTGCTCATTTGAGGTGCAAGTTTCCCTTATTTCATTACTGCTTTAAACACAAAATGGCATTTAATTTTGTGTTATAGAAAATTACATTACTGAAGAAGAATCTGTTCTCATCTTCTGTGATTATCTAGCTATGTACAATTCAAATCTTGTAGCAATGCATACTACATACTACATACTACTATATGCATACTACATATGACCTAATGAAAATGTCTCTTTTCTATTAAAAAAAATCCAGTTGGTCTGTCTTTCTGGGCAGTGAGGGATATTGACACATTTCATAGCTGGTATTAATCTGTCCCATTTTCCGTATGTATTAACTTGCCTCATAAGAAATAACCAAAGTGACTAACATAAAAAATAACAACAATAAAATCACAAAACTTTTTTAAAAAAACACACAAGGGCAGAAACACACATAATATATCAAAATCATTTCAGGTTGCAATCCTATGGACACTTAACTTGGAAGTATGTTTCATTATTTCTGAGTAGGCACACATAGGATGGTGCTGTTGAACTGTTGTCACTAGACCGAACAGGTGAGAGTTGAGCATGTTCTTGACGCTGGCACTTATAATGAATGAAAATTACATGCTGATTACAATTCCAACTATAACATTCATGGGGAAAACCTAGGCTGCATCTCTAACACTTACTTAGGAGTTAAGTCTTGTTGAACTCATACTTCTGAGTGAATAAGAATTACTCTGCAATTCAAAAACATGTATGCATATTTTCCTTGTATCCCTTAAAGTACCTCCCATGGTTTGATTGTCCACCTTTTTCCAAAGAAGTTTCGGAGTTTGAAAGTAGTAAAAGCTACTTTAGGGAGAAATGACTTTCCGTCTACCATGTGCACTACTTTTGCCTGCTTTTTCATTTCAGTAATTTTCACACAGATTCCAAAAAAATAAAATAAAAATCATGGCAGTTTATAGTGGATTTGGGCAGTTTAGGGATTTGGTGGGCAAAGTTATTTCAAGGAAATTTCTTGAAATGGGTGTGCAGTTACCATGCATGTGAGAACCTCTGAAAAATGCTCTCAATGTATTTTAGTCTGCAAGGATGGGGGAACCTGTGGTCCTCCTGTTGTTATTGGACTTCATTTTCCATCAGCACCAACCAGCATGGCCAAGTGGTCAAGCATGATGGAATCTGGAGTCCAACAACATCTGGAGGGCTACAGGTTCTCCATCCGTATGGCACACATCTGCTTAGGAGCCAGCATCATTGACCTCAGTGGGACTTACTTCTGAGTAGACATGTATAGGACTGTGCTAATTGTCCATTAGGAAATTGATTGACCCATAATACCGAAGTGCCCACAGAATAGATTTCAAGTGTGCATCTAGCAATAACATATTTTTAAAGCATGACACATTGTCTGAATAACAGTTTTCAGGAAATGTCTAAATGATTTCTAAGAGATTAACATTCTATGGACTTTTAAACGTGTTAGGGGGAAGGGGGTTATTGGTTTCCTTCTGTTTTATTACATATTTTGTGTTCTCATTTTGTATTTTTATGTTGTGAACTGCCCTGTGATCTTTGGCAGAGGGGCGGTATACAAATTTAATAATTATAATAATACAGTAATAACAAGATACTGTTTTGGTAACTTAATTATATGAGGGTATAGAGTCATAACATAGTCCTTTTGCAGATCTTATAAGACAGTATTTGCCAACCTGGTGCCTTCCAGCTGTTCTGGTCTACAATTATCATCAGCCCCAGCCAGCACGGCTATGGGAGTTGCAATCCAAAACATCTGGAGGGCACCAGGTTGGCAAAGGCTGCTATAAGACAAACTTCCCCTGTTTTTCTTTTAGACAGCTTGAGCAGCAGACTATGGAACAAAATGTGTCCCTTTGAAACTTACAAAGCTATTGTATCAAAGTTCTATTGTATTGAGATCAACCGTTTAAGTAATGATAGTAGTGTTTTAATAATAAATCTAATGAAAACAACATGATAAAAGCACAAAGCCTCTGAAGAGAATGAAAGAACCCCCGTGAAAGAGAAAACATATGTCAGGGAAATGATACTGAAGATAGGCTCTTAAGAATATATGAGCTAGACTCCTTGACCTCAGCCACCTTCTGCTCCCCTCCAGGCTATGAACTGTTTTTGCTTGTCACAATGGCTTAAATTTTAATAGAAAGTTTCCCTAAATCTCGAACCACATCTGCTTCTTTGTTTCTTTCCGCAGCCAAATCCCTCAGCGAGGCCAACTATACATACTTCAGTGTTTCCATATATATTTTTTGTTGCAGGGCGGAGGGAGTAAAATATTCTTATATAATTCCTTTAGGAATAATTTCGAAAGTTCACAGTTTGCCACAATCACAGTGTACTACAGATAAACGTGAAGGTATTTCAGCTATGCATATTGAGTTCTTAAGTCGATTGCCTGCCAACCGATTTTTTCACTAGTGCTGGCATTTGCGCATGTCCTCCTTTCCAAAGCAACAAACTTCAAACAGTTTCTATTCATTATTGAGGCTTTCATAGATTCTATGGAATTTCTACAAAGAAAATAAAGAGATAAATAAGGTGCATTTCACACTTTATGCAGCAGTTTCCCCTCTATCTCTGGCATTGAACATTACAGTGGTACCTCGGGTTACATACGCTTCAGGTTACAGACTCCGCTAACCCAGAAATAGTGCTTCGGGTTAAGAACTTTGCTTCAGGATGAGGACAGAAATCGTGCTCCGGCGGCGTGGCAGCAGCAGGAGGCCCCATTAGCTAAAGTGGTGCTTCAGGTTAAGAACAGTTTCAGGTTAAGAACGGACCTCCAGAACGAATTAAGTACTTAACCGAAGGTACCACTGTACAACATTTGTGAGAGCATCAACATATTTGTCTATAGACATACTTGTGCACTGGCTGTGAAATGGGGTAGCATCTCAAGCTGATTTCTTTTTTGTGTGCAGTGACGCCACTATTTAATATACCAAAATTGTCACTGTAGAGATGATTTCTATGTTAAGGGGTTCAGAAACCCCTCTTTCTAAACAGAGTGACAAGCCCTCCAGATGTTGCTGAATTACAACTCTCATACAACAGCTGCATTGGCTGCCAGTTTGCTTTCAGGTCCAATTCAAAGCAATCATGCTAGTGTTTAAAGTCCTAAATTATTTAGACCCCAAATATGTGAAATACCATCTCCTTCCCTACAGACCCTCCTGCTGTTCTGATCAGCAGAGGGGGCCCGCTTGGCATTTCCACCTCCCTCAGAGGTTCATTGGCGGTGGCCCAGGAGAGCGTATTATCCATGGCAGGTCCTAAGTTGTATGTCTGGCTTCTTCACTATACAGCTTTCAATAAATGCTGAAGACACACATCCTCATTTTTATTTTTATTTTATTTATTTCACAAATTATATGTGCCTCTTGATTGTAAAGAAACAACAACCTAGCCTTTGACATCTGGGATGTGTCAGGACCCCAAACTATTACCCTGACTGCACTCTGTTCTATTTTTAATTACGAATTTTAAACTGTTGTAACCCACCCTGGGACCTGCTGGTGAAGGGTGGGTAATAAATTTAAAAATGAAGATGAAGATGAAGATGATGATGATAACCCCTGGTCATTGGCCGTCCTTACTGGGGCTGATGGGAGTTGAAGTTCATCAACCTGAGGGCCACATGTTCTCCATTCCTGTTCTGCAAGATCTGGCTTTCCTTAACTTGCTCTTGCGGCTGCTTCTGCTGTTTATTTCTAGTACACCAAATGCAGAGGGAGCTAAGAACCTTTTGACTTTGTAGAATCTGAAGGGATATGTGCTCAGGTCAGACACAGGTGAACCAAGCTGTTCCTACATTTTTACTGTGCTTCTCTCTGCCTCACAAGAAGATCTAGACACCAGCACTTTCCATATTATGATTTACATCACAAAGAGTCTCTTGGCAAGAGAACCCTTGCCTGAACAGCCTTGTAGCCACAATCTTGCACGAAGTTATGCAAGCTTAAACCACTGAAAGCAACACAAGTCGGTTGAATGGCGGCCCTATAAATGGAAAATAGTTGCCCTAAATTCTGGTCATAAATGCCTTTATTTGGGGACCAC